GAGAGAGAGAAAGGGGGAGAGAGAGACAGACTTTAGCTTGTTTTGATTTAGTTTTTTCTTTTTCTCTACTTTTTGCGATGGCCATTGGCAGCATTACCTGCTTAAAATGCAGCTGCTACCCGTGAAGCCTGAGGACTCCATCTGTCTTTGTATGTGTGTGTGTGTGTGTGTGTGTTTGTGTGTGTGAGATTGTTTGTGTGTGTGATGGGCCAGTTTCAACAATAGAGAACAGTTTGCATGTGTGTTAACGTGCGTTGAAGGGCTGTGTTCCTCATACCTTTGACAAATATGTTTTTTTACGTACGTGAACGTAACCTGAATATTCACAGACAGATGTTGTGGCAGTGTGTGCGGTTTTGCCGACAAGTGTGTACTTGCACAGTACGTTTTCAATGTATTTTACATTTTTGTTGACTTTCTAAGAATTTGTCTCTTTGTCTGTGCTTGTCTGCTGTGCATGTATCCTCCTGTTATCCTTGTGTGTATGTGTGTGTGTGTCATGTTGTGTTATCACCGCCCATTCCTGCAGAGAACAGAGGTAAAGACAGTTTGACAGGCTTTTCAGAAAACAGTCGACTCTTGGGGGCTTGTCAACACTGCGGCTCAAATTCCTTCACATTAATCTGTGTTTGCGTGAATATTTAGCCTATACATATTGGCGGTTTGCCTCTGGATTTATACAGCTACCTTTCAGTCTGTGTGTCAGTATGTAGGGTTGTATAGACATGTGTGTGTGTGTGTCTTCTGTTTGTTTGACAAAGGTTGAAAGTTGTGAATACAGCCTATACAAGCTGGCAGTTTTCACCCAAAGGGTAGGGCTAGGAAAAACTTGTCCCCACACACCTGCATACTAACTTACACGACTTCTCTCTTAGCTGTCCAACGTGTCCAATGTTGACACTTGGGGGGGTTGAGTTGTCAGCGCTGTTGATGCTGTTGCCCCTGACTGTTGGGGTAATGCTGGCTGGCAGCCCTGTGGTGTTGTTGGGCACATCTTTCAGTCCTGAGTTGGATGATGTAATGTATTTGTTCATTACTTGCACAGGTGACATGCCAGGCCTATCTATTGAATGCCAGAGGTTCAAGATGGGTGGGGTTTATATTGCAGCACTTAAGGAGGTCATTGGTGTAGTCCTTATAGCACCAGCAGTATAGTATCACTGACTTGCCTGTAAAGGGCTTGATGGGGTATGCAGTGGTCAGGCATGCCAATAGTATGCCTTATCCTTTGAAGACTTTTTGTAGCCACTGCTGCTTCCATACAGATGGAGTTGGCGATGGAAAAAAACCTCTCTATTGGGGTTGTGATCTTCCCAAGACAGGCTGAGGATCTTTTGAAGGCATCAGATGTGGAAGGCCTCCAGGTTTGTGATATGCCATCTGTACAAGGTCCACGTTTCTACCCCATAGAGCAGAGTGGCAGCTCATACCGCAATGTATACAGCAACTTTGGTGCTGATCATCAGGGCTGACGAGGCTCTGTTGATATGGCTGTTTATTTCAGTATCAAGGGAGCAGTCTGAGGAAAGCGTGGCGCCAAGATAGGTGAACTCACCTTTTTTGAATGTTGACTTGGAGACCTAAGGCCTGGTATAGGTCATAAATTGCAGTGTGCCAAGACAGCGCAGTCATCTGCATATTGAAGCTCACAGAATTGGCAGTTCTCTGTATGTCCTCGAACCATAAAGATGATACTCCAAGTGAACTGGTGAATGATGTAAGATGTGGGTGAGAGAGGAGATTGAACAAGACCGGTGCCAAAACACAGCCTTGCTTTACCCCAGTGTTGACCTTGAAGGACTCTGACTGAAGTTCTCCCGTGCAACCTCTGGCTTGCATCCCACAGTTTGTGGTGTCAAAGCCCTTGCTGAGGTCAAATAACTATCCTACAGTTCTTTGCACTGCTCTCTGCTCTTCGTTAGTAGATGCCAAGACAAAGACTAAGATCATGTCAGTAATGGATCTAGACTTCCAGAAACCACATTGGGTTTCTGGGAACTTTTTTTCCCCACCACTTTACCTGCAATAGAGAGGAGAGAGAATCCGCCGCTGTTCCCACAAACTGCTCTGTCCCCCTTCGGACAGTACTGTGGGACTGACACACACATACACTTAAACACACACACGCTTCTGCCCCAACAACTACATGCAGACACCAGCTGGGAAGTAAATGTCACAGGAATGAAAGGAAAGGAAAACACCTGAGCCCAGAGTGGTACACCAGCTCTGTTGCTCTTGTTCTCTTTTGTATTTGTCATTCTGTCTATCTGTTTTTTTGTCTCCTATAAAAGAACCATTTAGTGGGCAAAAATTACCATTTGGTTGACATTATTTTTTTTTTACTATCCCCATTTTTCTCTTTTTCTCTCATGCTCACACACACACCTTCACACACACAGAGAGAGACCCCTACCCTTCCCGGACGCCTTCTGTCAGCAAGGTGACAAGGTGACCAGAGGATAAGTCAGCATACATTAGTCCAATTGACACCACACCCTTTTATTATGTTAATGAACCATCTGATTAGCATGGACAAGGCGTGTGTGTGCGTGTGTGTGTGTGTCCTTTTGTGTCAACTGAATATCTCTACTAATGCAGACCTTCTGGTTTCATATAGATACACTTTTGTTTTTATCATTAAAAACCTCCATGTTTCTACTCGCAGTATGTTTACCTTCTGCAAAGCGCATTTTTTGTTCATGCATGTGTAAACAAAGACATCAGCTGTCACTTCTATTGCATGCCTCTGTATATAGGCAGGTCCTGTCAGCAAAGCCTCTAGCAGAGGTTTTTGTTTTGATCTCATCCAGCTGTGGTTCTCTTCACACCGCTGGTCGCTGGTTCTCTTTGCATTTCAAACATCAATATATCATTGTCAAATTAGCGGTGATATCTCTGTATAATTATGGTAAACAAAAGACACCCCAACAGAGAAAATTGGGCACCTCTGTCTCACAGCACTAGTATTGTCAGTGCCTATATTTCTCAGAATTAATGCTGTGTTTTCCCTAAACCACTTTGCCACTGGCTCCATATGGTTTGAAGACACAATCAATGAGGCTGCAGATCTTGTCAGTGATGGTCTGGTTTGTGTTTTGACAATTATGATTAATTGTTATTAAAATGCTACACTTAGCTGCTCTAACTGGTCTAATGAAGGCTGGTTGAAACAGATACATTAAGGCCACTTGTTTAAAGCCTGGATGTATTATTTATTTGACCAAAAATGTTAAGTATATTCACACACATCACTGAAGAGTTTGATTATATTGTCAGTCATCATCAGTTGTAAAAATAAAATATGGGCATGTTTATTGCTGTTTTAACAGACATGACTTATGTAAACAAACCTTTAAAACCACTACAGCTTCATTAACATTGTCCTGATAAGCTTTTGTTTTGTAATAAAACGAGACAGGCTAGCCTAGTGTTTGGGTTGGATTGGTACAGAGGGAATGGTAGCGGCATAACTGCCATATTGAGTTTTTTGATACTACCACTGTGGGGTGACAAAAAATGAAGTTTTAAAATGAAACATAGTGGCTTTAGAAAAAAATACCAAATTGGATTTAATTGCGGTAGTCTGTGACATCTGTGTCTTAACAACCTCTTCAATCAATTTAGAGGTGACAGCAAGATGTGTAAATCTGGTTGAGTATGTTTGGATTATGGATTATCACTGAAGGTTGCTTCTTATGGCTGTCAGTGTTGACTAACACAAGTCTCTAACATCATTCTGGATTGATTCATGGCTTCTGATACTCAATTCTGTCTCTTCCAAACACAGGATAAAAAGAAAAAAGCAATACAGCAAATCTATATATTATATATGTCCCACTTTGATATATTGATGTAAAATATATTTTAAAATGTGCTGTGCTTGAGGGCAACCATGCACCACCCACCAGAATAAAAATTGGAAAATGTAATAATAATCATAACTAAAGGAAGTGCCATTACTATTACTACCAGTTCTACTATTATAGTGTACTGCAGATCTGAGTGTGGCCATTTACTGCTTTGAGTAGGTACAATCAAGACCCCCAGGCAGATTTGCCTTTTAATTAATATTGTATGTTATTAAACTATAAGATAAAAATCTGAATACGTAATTAGTTGTGAATGACAGTAAAACAAAAAAAATATCTTTAAACTACATTAGCTTTTAGCGCTGATCAACGATAACGATGATCAAAGTACAAGGATGTAAAGACTTCAATGTGTATTGAG